TCAGCTCGATTCCTGTTCACACTAACGTTTGTGTTAGCGTATGATCTCGCGTCTCATTCAGGGATTTATCCCAAGTTTTTATCTTTGACGCAAAGAATCAACCCCTTGTGATAAACGTTGGGCTGTCTACGTCCAACACGCTGTAAAATGAGATGTTCCCACCATCCACAAGGGCGATTTTGAGGGGAACAGGGGAACACTGTTTGGTAAGAAATGACAAAGCAGCAAGCGACGGTGGAGGGTCATAATACCTGAAACGAATCAGAGAGGTTAATTAGGCTCGTTACAAATATAATTAAAAAGTTAAAACTAGTAAAAAGTAGCTTGTTGATACCGATTAGTTTCATGAGTTCAATTGTAAAACTCTCAGCTGTTCAAAAAAGTTCAATACACTCGAACCTCGCGTAAACGACCCAAAGGGCAAAAAGTTAGTGGTGGGTTACGAAAGGTGTTCGTTTACGAGAATCGATCCACTACACAGGGGATCTCTTCCGAGAACAGGTTACGACACACCTACATTGTTTGGAAGAGAATAGACCTTTTCACAGTTTTTTTTAACTTTAGACATGAACAAGTTAGAGGAAATCCGTCGACACCACTGAAAAGCACACTTTAAGATTAGTACAATTGCCAAGTTTGAAAGCGATTTGTTGAAAACTAACTGAAGATATAGCTTTACAGATGTTTGTATGGTGAATATGTCCCCCCCCCGCCCCCCACCACTACCCCACGATACAAACGACTGTAAATTTTCGAAACTTTGTGGAGCTACATCTTCATGTATACAGTATAGACTCTCTTTTAACGGACACCTCTATAAGACAGACACCTCTGTAAAACAGACACGTAGAGTTGGTCCCTGCCTTTCTTTACTCCCTTTATTTGTCTCTCTATAAGACGGACACTTAATGCCGGTCCCAAAGGTGTCTGCCTTAGAGAGAGTTGACTGTATCTTCACTCGCTTAAGTCGTAACACTTTGGCTCACTTTCAAATTTGGTAATTTTACCATTATTAAGGCGCTGTTTCCTGGTGTTGACAGATTTTCCGTAACTTGTCCAGGCCAAAAGTTGAAAAAACCGTGAAAAGGTCTATTTGTTGAATGTAATTTCTAATAAGCTAGGATATGTGTAGTCTTATGTTCTCACTAAAAGTTTCGCATACTCTGAGGAGCATAGTACACACAAACTGAACATAGAGATCACACCTTTAGTGAAGCGATCGTTTACAAGAGGTAAAAAAACAATGAAAAACTTTAAAACCTTAAGGCACAGAAGGAGCTCGCAGTCGCTTACGAGAGATGTTCGTTTACGAGAGGTTCTCGTTAGAGAGTTTTAGGTGGGACATTTTGGTGTTATGGATCCGTGGTCGCTCAAGGAGGTTCGTCCGAATTTCAGAAACCCTAGTAAGTTCATACCTACACACAGCGATGCAAAAATGTGGTGGTCCAGGATCTGTTTTCTTAAAGTTCACACCTGGTTGATAAACATCAAAAGCTACTTGGAGAGACTGCTGATCTGAGCTGTGTTAACCAAAAATAAATAATGAATAAATAAATAATCAACAATGATCCAGAGTTTGCTTGGAGAAAACTGAATATGGCGGCTGTAATAATGTGGTAGTTT